ACATCCCCAAATTTATTCCCGCACTCCCTGAATCATCCCCTCATTATTCCCTAATTAGCGGCTCCCGCTGTTCCAAAGCTCCAAAGGTCGTCCCAACCCTTCTCGCCGTGTTTACGTTTTTATTTCCCTCCTTATCTCTCACATTCCCGCTCCGGAAAAGCGGGAAAAAGCCGGGAAAAAAAAGGGATTTTAGTGGGATTTTAGCGGGAATTCCCACAGGAATCGCCCGGGCCTCTGGGCCCAGCACAGGCCGCGGCCGTTCGCCCTCAGCCGGGCCGCGGCGCCAGCAATCCCTGCCCGCCTCCATTGCCGGTAATTCCGTCCCCGCCGCATTCCCGGCAACTCACCGGGCTCCAGCAGATCAAGGCGTCGGTGTCGGGATCCTCCACGAGAGTCCAGAGCTTGGTGAGGAAGGCGGGCACGTTACTGGGCCCCGCGCCCGCCGCCGCGCCGGGGCCGTCCATGGCCGCGCCCTCACGGCGGGGAGGGGGGGCGGGAAGGGCTCGGGGAGACCCCGTGCGAGCGCGCCCGCTAAAAAAGGCGGGAAGGGACGGGAACGGCGGCAGCGGCGGCGGCGGCGGGACGCGGCATGGCCGCCGCCATCTTGGAGGGGCGGTGTGAGGGGGCGGGGCGATGCGCATGCGCGGTCACGCCCACTGCGGGCAGAACACGCCCACAGCGATGTTCGGTCGGAAAGGGGCGTGGCTTCGTCACAAAGACACGCCCGTTTTGGTGATAGCCACGCCCACTGCACGATGCGGGCGGGGCGTTGTGGCGAGGCCACGCCCATTGCGCGGTAACCACGCCCACTCCATGGCTCAGATGGGAACGGGGGTCGGCACAAAGCACGCCCCCTTGGACATAGCCACGCCCACTGCGCGGTGTAGCTCGGCGATTTGCCGCTGGGACACGCCTCCTTGTGCTGTAGCCACGCCCACTGCACGTTACAAACAGGAAAGGGGCGTGGTTTTGTCTCCAGGACACGCCCCTGCGCGGTGCCCGATGTGGGCCTTGGTGTGGGACACGCCCCTGGGAGGTGGCCACGCCCACTGCCTGCAGGGTGAAGGGGCGGGATGGAAAAGCACAGGGAATGCCCGCGGAGAGGTGGGGATACTCCCGCTGGGAATAAGCTCGTGGATGTCACCGGGACACGCCTTCTGTCCCACAGAGACACGCCCCCGCACACCTGACAGGCCCCTCATCTGACGTCACGCCCCTTTACTTCAGGCCACGCCCTCTGGGCATTGCTGGCAATACCTGGGCGGAGTTTTCCCAAGGGAGCTGCCCTGGCCCCGCCCCTCCCCATTGGGACACGCCCATTTTCCTGCTGGCCCCACCCCTTTTTTGCCGTAGAGTCTGCCACGCCCCTTCACTAAACCACGCCCCCTTCTCTGCCAGTCCGGATTTGGCGCGGCTGCCGCTGCACGCATGCGCAGAGAGCACCGCCCCGCCGGGTTTGCGCATGCGCACTTTGCTTTCACATTTTCCCGCGCTGCCACTCCTTTCCCGTTCTCTTTCCCGTTATCTTTTCCCGTTATCTTCTCTCGTTCCCGTTATCCCGCCCCGCCCAGGAGCGCGATCCCCTCCCTCGGGAGCGGCGCGGGGCCGCGGGAAGGCGGAAGCGCGGCGGGCGGGGGCGTGGCCGTCCCTCTGACCCGCGCCCACGTGTTCGGCGGCGCACGCGGAGCCGCCACCATGGAGCAGGTCCGGGGGTGACCGGGAAGGGGGAGACGGGGGGGGGAACAGGCGGGGTTGTCATGGCAACGGGGAGGGAGGGGACACTCACGAGCTTGTCATGGCAACGAGGAGGGGACTGGCCTGGTCCCAGTGAGTGGGGACCGGGAAATGGCGGGGAGGGGTCCGGCCTGGTGTCCGTGAGGGGAAACCCAGCACTGAGGGGGGTCTGGCCTTGGCCTGAGGAAGGACTGGCACTGAGGGGACAGTTTGGCTTCCTGAAGGGGAAAACTGGTCCTGTCCTGGTGAGGGAGGACCGGGAAATGGTGGGGAGGGGTCCGGCCTGGTGTCCGTGAGGGGAAACCCGGCACTGAGGGGGAGTTTGAACTCCTGAGGGGGATTTCGCCTCTTAAGGGGTCACCCCATAACTGGGGGGCTCCGGCCTGTTCTCCATGAGGGGGCTCTGGCGTTGTCCTGAAGGGGCACCCGGTAATTTGATGAGATTTGGCTTTTTATGGGGGTAACCCCGCTCTGTCTCGCTGAGAGGGGGTCCAGCCTTGTCCTGAAGGGGAATTTGGCAATTTGGGGAGGGTCTGGCCTGGTGTCCATGAGGGGAAAACAGGGAATGGAGGGGTCCGGGAATGGCGGGGTCCAGCCTGGTTTCTGTGAGGGGAAACCCATCAGTGAAGGGGGAATTTGGGCTCCTGAGGGGAGATTTGGGCTCCTGAGGGGAGATTTAGGCTCCTGGGGTGGAACTCGGCTCTATCCCAGTGAGGAGGGACCCCATAACTGGGGGGCTCTGGCCTGGTCTCCATGAGGGAGCTCTGGCCTTCTGAAGGGGGACCCGGTAATTTGAGGAGATTTGGCTTTTTGTGGGGGGAACCCGGCTCTGTCCCGGTGAGGATGGACCTGGAAATGGGGAGGGTCTGGCTTGGTGTCCATGAGGGGGGACCCAGGAATGGCGGGGTCCAGCCTGGTCTCTGTGAGGGGAAAACTCAACAGTGAGGGAGGATTTGGGCTCCTGAGGGTGGATTTGGGTTACTGAGGGGGAACTCGGCTCTGTCCCGATGAGAGGGGACCCCATAACTGGGGGGCTCTGGCCTGGACTCCATGAGGGGGGTCTGGCCTTGTCCTGAAGGGGCACCCGGCAGTGAGGGGGGATTTGGGCTCCTGAGTGGGGATTTGGGCTCCTGAGGGGGAATTTTGGCTCCTGAGGGAGAATTTGGGCTCCTGAGGTTGAACTCGACTCTATCCCAGTGAGGGGGGGACCCCATAACTGGGGGTCTCCGGTCTGGTCTCCATGAGGGGGGTCTGGCCTTGTCCTGAAGGGGCACCCGGCAGTGAGGGGGGATTTGGGCTCCTGATGGGGGGATTTGGGCTCCTGAGGGGGGATTTGGGCTCCTGAGGAGGAATTTGGGCTCCTGAGGGGGAATTTGGGCTCCTGAGGGGGGATTTGGGTTCCTGAGGAGGAATTTGGGTTCCTGAGGGGGGATTTGGGTTCCTGAGGGGGGATTTGGCCTCCTGAGAGGGGGACCAGTCCTATCCCAGTGAGGGGGGACCCCATAACTGGGGGTCTCCGGTCTGGTGTCCATAAGGGGGGTCTGGCCTTGTCCTGAAGGAGACACCCAGCAGAGTGGGGTGCTCTGGTAAGGCCTGGGTGAAAGGACACCCAAAAATGGGGGTTGTCCTTGGCAATGGGGGGACCCAGCAGTGACAGGGACCTGCCTGGTACTGACAGGGAAGCTGAAAATGAGGGGGGGGGTCCCACCAGGTACTGAGGGGACCCAGAAACTGGGAGGACTGGGCCCCATCCTGGTGAGGGGGACACGGGAACTGGGAAGGGTCCAGCCTGGTCCTGAAGGGGGATATGG